CACGGGGTAGAGGGTCATCCACAGTCCCAACAGACAGAAGTGAGGGAAGGCAGTCAAGGGCAACCAAGATCCCAACAGAACCTGCAAGAAACTGACACACGCACCTGGGCACAAAGAGTCAAGAGACCTTTCAGCCAAGAAAAGCTAAATATTAAAAGACAGTCCAGAGGTGAGTCAAAAGAAGAGAACCTGGCGATCCTCCTAGGCAGGCTGACTTCAGCCAGTGCGTTTTTTTATGACAAGGCTCCTCACAGCATCGGAGAAATTGGTGAGGGAGCGAGGGGGGAAAAAAGTCATGATCACACACCTCCAGGAAGCGGGCCTGGAGGTGAGGGACAGGATCTACACAGAACACGCAACCAACTAAGTGTTTCACGACGATGCGAGCTACAAGTCTACGAACGACAAGATTGGATGGATCAGGAAGAAATTGGAGGCGTTAAAAGGAAATAAGGAAATCGCAGCAGATTCATTCCTCATCCACCCGGTTTCGAAAACAATCTTTACGGTGCTCAGCATGTGCACAGAAGATAAAAAAACGATGGACAGATGGAGGAAGATACGCTGTGATAGATCTGAAGTCCGACTTTACCCGTGGTCCCCCCAAAAACGTGCCACACCGGAGGAGCGGAGAGACAAACTGATGGCGGACTACTTTTATGTTGAATTTCATCATATTCCCATCGAAATTCAAGCAATGTTTGTACAGGATTTCGGAGAGAGATTCAATATTATTGACTTTATAGACCCCCTTCCTCGTTATGGAAGGGACGACTATATGATGTTGGCACTAGACTATCCTCCAAACCAGCCGTTCTCATTGGACGATGTGATACCATATTGGGTAGTTGACCAGGAATATAAGGTCTACACCGCACACAAACTTAGACCGTGGTGCATGAAATGCAAGGCATACAGCCACCTATGCACCGAACAGGTTTGCTCGCAACACCTAGGCAGGAAAGCGAGGATCACAAGGAGACTGACTCGGGACCCTTTCAAAATAGACAGTTGAAGAACACTCGACCCCGGACAGGAAGGCTGGGTCTTCATAGACCAGGAGGAGGATGGAAAGACGAAGGGGTGGATATCGGAAAGACAAACAAAACTGGAATGGAGCACTAAACCGCTCGAGGAGTGGGTATCTCCGAAGCCGGTGGAGGTACACGTGAGTGCCTCAACAGATACACCCAAGAAAAACTTTGGGACGTTGGCTGCACAAGAAAAAGTGAAACAGAATGAACAAAATAGGTACGACGACAGGGCTGTGGGAAAAGGAAAGGAAAAAGAGCCAGATCCAGAACAGTATATGGACATCAACTCACTCTCAATAGATGTCCGACCAGGGGGGGCCGGGCCAGATGGATGGGGGGTCATCCAAGCAAATCAGCACCGAAAACCGGTTTGGGCCACTTGAGGTGGAAGAAGGGGAGGGAGAGGAGAAAGTGGAAGACTTGGGGGACGACAATGCAGGCCTGATGGAGCTAAGGAAGACGAAGAAAAGAACGCGGAAAAACAAAAAAAAGAACCAGGACGAAGAACTAGGAACCGTGGAAGAGGAAAATCAGGATCAGGCTAAGAAAATGACTGAACATGCAAAGTCGGCAGAAAGCCGAGATCCATTCAAAGAAGTCTTTGGATCTCGTCCAATGGACTGGGATGCATCCCCCCTAGCGCACCCCTCACCCTTACCTCCCCCACCGGACGTTATCATGTCTGAGTGTTTCCCAGAAAGAACCGATGAGTCTAAAAGTGACAACGGAAAAAACTCAGGGGAGGGAGTCGAACACACAGCAGGCTTAGCAGACCAAGCCCAGGCTACAGTAGAGACGAAATTGATGGAGGTGACAGACTGGCTGATATTGCGATTGCAGGAGAGGCACCCGGAGAAGACAACTGAATTCTGGGACAAATCCTACGTAGAACTTTTCGACCTGCTGGACTCACGCCCCAGTTTGAAAGAAGTTCTGCAAAACGGGGTACCACAAAAGATCCACTTTGCAAGGATCATGCAAAAATTTTTGGCAAAAATCCTAGCAGGATTCTCATGCCCGCAGGCCGACGAAGAAGAAAGCGGAACAACAAAAGAGACAAAACAGGCCGCTACACACACCCCACACACCCCAGTCCCCCACAAAGATATCACGCCCCCCCCCTACCGCAGGCCCCAGAATCATCAGCAGAGGGGGAAGGGATGCAACAAGATGGGGAACAGAGGACAAGACTGAAAAATAAAGGGAAAGTAAAGGACGAAATAACAACTAAGCGAAAGCGACTGAGGCACCTGGCGGAGAGAGGACAACATGAGCACAAACTTTCCACAGAGGGAGTCTTGGTTCTTCCGATCAGAAAGAAGGAAGGAAAAAGGGAATTGGGCATGACTAAGGCAGTGGGAAGCAGCGATTTCGTTAAAACGGACATTTTTTAATTTTTGCGCGAAATTGAAAGTCCTTTTTTTGCGATTTTTTGTATGTAATTTATTAAGTATGTTATGGGGTAAGGGGGTAAGGGGGTAAAGGGGTAAGGGGTAAAGGGGTAAGGGGTAAGGGGTAAGGGGTAAGGGGTAAGGGGTAAGGGGTAAGGGATAAGGGATAAGGGGTAATATGGGTAAGGGGTAAGGGGTAAGGGGTAGCAATGGTACGAGCTCAACAAAGTAACACAGTAATGGTGTTCAATCGGGCATGTTGCGCTGTTTCTTTGTTAAATACATCCGAACATATTCATGGGTGTCTATCTACTATAGCTGATAAACTCTTTACATTTGCACAATATGAACAAGTGATTTTCTTTGATAATGTCGTCTATCATATGTCCTTTGTTGCACAAGTCACCCCTACTTCGGTGTGACAAGTACATCTAAAGCGATCCGTCCCCTTATATCCTGGATGTCGTCGAAAGAGAAGTTGAACGGCGGGAGAAATCCTCTTGCCAATAGTGACGCGTATGTTAGCATAAACACACCGCATTCGTTAATGTCGCGTTGTCTAGGAATGCCTGACACATTCCATATATGGTTGAAATCTTTTGTATCTACCACCTTACCCTGTTCAACTGATCTTTCGAACAAAAATCTTTCGAAACCACCTGTCACTTTCCTTGCGAATTCTTTGTCAGGGGTAAGTGAGTCGTAGTACTCTATTTTCTGGCGTCTCAAGTCCGCTATTACTAGTGTCCAATGGTTGGACATCCGAACATGGAATAAAGCTATTATTAAGTCTACGTCGCCCACATCGATATCTGTCATCCACTTTCGCACTGCGCTATATTTGTATTGCATATCGTCATCGAACAATTTCGTGAAGAAGAAGGAACTAAAAATTGTTGTTATCGGGATGCGCCCTTTTCCTTCTACTACAGTTCCGTCTTGTCCACTGTTACACTCGCGATGGCTTATCCGACACATGTTGTCAAGCCTAACGAGGTTCAAATAAAAGTTAACTATTTCGTTGTTCAACCATTTGTCTTGAAGCAATACCAAGCTCAAATCATGCCCGGTTAGTGTTAGTTCTTCTTTTGTTGCCCCGTTGTACGTGGATGTCCAGACCGTTCGGTTCTCCACTTGCACTGAATCTCGTAAACGTTGTACCGCGGCCTTCTCCTTCTCCGACAATTTATCCGTTGCTAAGTGGATCGTCCATCTCTGTTTGCATCTTCGTACTTCTTCTATGTTCCGTCTTTCTGCACATGACAATGCATTATGCGTCAGCGTAAGATATCAATATTGGGGCTTGCCATATTTGCATGCCCGAAACGGCCTTCAAAATTTCAATTGCTAAATCCTGCCAACATGATACTATAACGAGTATACATAAACACCCCGACCTCCACCCTTCCGCGTAATATATCGATCAATGAAGCTTATCGCAATCTATGGTGGTTATCGGTAACCCTGCTTCCATCTGTTCACTGTTGATCATGTTCATTACTATTGGTAAAATTTTCAAAATAAGTTCATAATATTCATAGTACGCTACAAGATGGCACAACAAGTTCTCAGAAATCTTAGGTGTCATTTGCACATGACAGGCAAAGTGCCCCATATAGTGCATTTTCATATGCCTTCATTATAAAACTGTACCAAGCACGTGCACACAATTTAGTCCACACACACAGAACCTTGCGCTGCTAACGAGTCAACCTCTGCGTTCTCAAACCCAGACACACACATACACACACACACACACATACACACACACACACACACACACACACACACACACACACACACACACACACACACACACACACACACA